GTCATAGTACCTTCAGGTCATCAAACCCAATAAAGAACATTTTAAAAGGCATCCTACAGTTAGAAGGTCCCAAAACCTTAAAAAGACAACCAATAGACGGGGAAAACTTCAGAGCTTTATCCGACGTATTAGACACACAGCCTTTTCGAAACCAAAACATACAACACCCTCAAAACCGCTATGTTTCCGACGTACTACTAACGACAACACCAATAGATTCACAATGGCTGACCAAAAGAAAGTAGGCAACCACTACGTTTGACCCTACACAAGTCCAAAATAATCAAATGGGACCGCCTGACGACATACCACTAGTCCCTACAGGCAACAATGGTGCCCCGTTCAGTTGCTCAACCAATCGCTTTCACCCCGCACAGGTCAGGACAAAACCGCTCCCCTTCTAAGCTTATATGGTAATCCTTTGACAACATCAAAATTCATGGCATACGGTAAAACTCTAATCACAAAAATAGGGAGCTATCCAACTGTACATACCACAACCAGAGAAAGAGCAGACAAGAGTTAGCTAATTAAGTAATAATGTTGCATCTGCATGTATAATGTAACTATTTCATAAGTATTAAAGTGGCAGGCCCGCCCGAACATTCGGTTTCGGCACAACTCAACCGACTTTAGTTAATCTATAAGGTTTACATTATGCAGCTTTTTTCCCTGACCACAAATGGGAAGGTTGTAACCGTTTTAGTCCAGTGATGCAGATGTAAAAAATAGATCAAATTCGTATCTTGTAATACCTTTTTTTATAGGTTTTAATCTTTCATTTAATACATACATATACATATATATATATATATATATTGTGACGAAGTGCCCTTCGCCACTTGTGCCTGGAGAGGACTAATTGCCAGCCTCCTGCCATGTGACTATGGTCCCTGGGAGACTTTGCCAGTTAAAAAGATTATTTGGGCTTATTGGCTTTTAAAAGACTGTTTCTGCCCTTTGATTCCATGGGAGCATGTGTCTCTTCCCCTCCCCCTCTAATACCTATACCATTGTTCTCCAGCAGGGCATTGCCTCTCCCAGGGACACTGCCAAACCAGTTGAAACAAGCTGTTTTGTCCCAAATAGGACTTTTACCTAACTTTTGAACTACTGGAGGGAATTGTATGATTTTTGGGTATGTTTATAATTAAAGTGTGCGAAGTTCGAATATGTGATTTTTATGTTTGTGGCATGTATATTTTGGAAGTTATTAATATGTTGCATAAAGTGTATTTTTCCTGCCTGTGATAAATTACATTGACCCATTGTGTTCGGTAATTATATCACAGGCAGAGGGGAGGGATTGTATGTTGGTGCTGGGTGTGTTTTACGGTTTTCCTGTAAATGATTGGTTGTTATCAGCAAAAATCAGCATGGTTTTATGAAGCACAGGTCATGTCAAACTAACTTGATTGCGTTCTACGAAGAAGTAAGTAGAAGTATAGATCAGGGTGTTGCCGTGGATGTGATCTTTTTGGATTTTGCCAAGGCATTTGATACAGTTCCACACAATAGATTAGTGTTCAAACTCAAGGAAATCGGTCTAGATGAAAATGCTTGTTCTTGGGTAGAACATTGGCTTAAAAACAGAGTACAAAGAGTTGTCATTAATGGTAAATTTTCAAGCTGGACAGAGGTGGCAAGTGGTGTCCCTCAGGGGTCTGTTCTGGGACCCCTTCTATTTAACATGTTTATAAATGATCTTGAAGACAGCATTGAAAGTCATGTTTCAGTGTTTGCAGATGACACAAAACTTTGTAAAACAATACAATGTGAGCAAGATATTACTTTGCTGCAGAGGGATTTAGATAGACTGGGGGACTGGGCACTCAAATGGCAGATGAAATTTAATGTTGAAAAATGCAAAGTTATGCACTTCGGCGTAAAGAATACACAAGCAACGTATACCCTTAATGGAAGCGAATTAGGGATAACAACACATGAAAAGGACTTGGGAATTGTTATAGACAACAAACTATGCAACAATGTGCAATGTCAATCAGCAGTGGCCAAGGCCAGTAAGGTATTGTCATGCATGAAAAAGGGCATTCATTCTCGGGACAAGAATATAATTTTGCCTCTTTATAAATCACTGGTAAGACCCCATATTGAATATGCTGTGCAATTTTGGGCACCTGTTCTAAAGAAGGATATTATGGCACTAGAAAAAGTGCAGAGGCGGGCTACAAAATTAATAAAAGGAATGGAACATATCAGCTATGAAGAAAGGTTAACAAATTTAAACCTATTTAGTTTAGAAAAACGTCGCCTGAGAGGGGATATGATAACATTATACAAATATATTCGGGGCCAATACAAACCATTGTGTGGAAATCTATTCACAAACCGGACTTTACATAGGACACGAGGCCATGCGTTTAGACTGGAAGAAAGAAGATTTCGCCTAAGGCAAAGGAAAGGTTTTTTTACTGTAAGAACAATCAGGATGTGGAATTCTCTGCCTGAAGAAGTGGTTTTATCAGAGTCCATACAGATGTTCAAACGGCTACTAGATGCATACTTGCAAGAACAGAATATTCAAGGATATAATCTTTCAATGTAGGGTAATAACTGCTTGATCCAAGGATAAATCTGACTGCCATTCTGGGGTCAAGAAGGAATTTTTTTCCTAGCTTGTTGCAAAATTGTGCTTCAAACTGGGTTTTTTTGCCTTCTTTTGGATCAACAGCAAAAAACAAATGTGAGGAAGGCTGAACTTGATGGACGCAAGTCTCTTTTCAGCTATGTAACTATGTAACTATGTAACTATGTACTGTGTCCCACCCTGTGGGACGTCCCTTTGCATGGGGACTTGCATAAAAGCCAGTGTGTGGTCATTAAAATCAGATCATCTTGTATCTTTCTTGAAGCCTTGGCTCAGGGGATTGCTATAATCACTTACTCCCCAGAGTAAGCTCTTGCAATAGCTTGATTTGTTCCTGCTACGCTCTCTGGATTTAGGAGAGGTTCACCCACAGGGAGCTGGATCCTGGTCGTGGATCCAGGGTGGGTGGAGACGGCGAGACCCTGGCGCAGCTGTATCGCTGGAAGTGGGGTCTGCAGTGCTGATGGTGTCGGTTGGAGTGCTTGGAGTCCTCAGCGAGCACTAGGCGCATTGATTGGCGGAGGTACTCAGTCGGAGTGCCAGCGTTCCGTCACACACACACACACACATATATATATATATATATATTTAGAAAACAAATATACATATATATATATATATACATATATATATATATGTATATATATATATGTTTTTTTAAATGCTTTCTTTTATTATTTTAAATAATTAAGGGAATGGATAAGCAGAAATAAACTGATGGGACAGTGACATGTAAATTGTTAAATGGGAGTGTCAATACAGAAAGAAATTTAAAACATCAAATAGGGATACTATGTAAGGGACCAGTTCACATAAGAGCACAAAACATTGATTGTGCAGAAAAGTGGATTATTGAGTAAAGTTTAACAATGGAGAAATATGGAGGTAATATTCCAATAGTTTTCAAAATGTTTACTCTACCTTTAGAAGGTAGTCTCAGAATTGCTCTATTTCCATATTGTTGATTTGTTTTGGGTTTTTTTTTACGGGGCAACAAAACATGCTTTCAGATTGATAAACAAAGTTGACATATGTCACAAGCTATTTTGGTGAAGGACATCTGTGATAGTCATTTATTTTTCAAGAGGACTACTGACATGTTAAGTCTATTACAAAACATATTCTATGGTTCAATAAGACCGATCACCTATCAAACACATCTAAATAATAAAAAAAATTATAATAAAAAAAGTATGTTTGAAAGAGCAGAGCTCAAAATGACAATGTAAAAACAGCCCCAAAATGTCAACATCAGGTGAAAACCTTGCCATTTACACCCATCCTGACCCTCTATAAACAGAATAATTGAACATTAGACAATGCCATGTCCATATAAATTCTTACAGCATGAATATATATATTTTTTTCAATAAGCCTTTGGTATATAGAAATAATAATAATAATAATAATAATAATAATAATAGAGGTATGTTATCACCACACTCAGAGGTTTCTCACGTATTTCTGAATCAGGGATGTAAGGTCCGCATTGATTTTGCGCAGCTGTTGTATCACCAATGAGAAAGGATCTTGGACCGGAACGTTGGCTTCCATCCTAGAGTTAACCTGTGATTAACGCCAGACACTACGTGTGCCCTTTAGTATAAACCAAGCCTTGATAAATAGCGTAGGGTAGAATGGATACGGAATAACAGGGACGGGACGAGTCAAACTGAGCGACACAGAGCAGTATTAAGATTTTAATCCACGCAGATTAACGCTGGAATGTTCGTTTTTTAGGGATGACATTAACACAAGAGGAGGTTTAGCAGACAGGCACTTTTTTTATTTTTGGCTAATGGATCATAGCTGTAAAAGGGTCAGTAGATGCTGTTGATTATGTTAAAAAAAAAAATAAAATAAAAGGTCATGGGCAGATAATTGATGGAATGCAGCCCCTGCCCACATGAGTGCTGGGAACTGTAGGATAAAAGGTCATCATTGTGGTTGAGAGAGTGGTAGGACGAAAACAATTAGACAGCATGACAAAATACGAGTTTAAAAACAAACGGGACAGAAAATGGCAAAAATGTAGATATAGCATGTAGCTGCACAGAATTACTACATACAAAATTCATCTTATCACCTCAATTAAAATATAACCGGCCACACAAACCGAATATCACTGATCGATTAATAGATACGTATAGTAATAAACCAGATAAATCCACTATCAGCGATCAAAAAACTAAAATAATGTGTAAATTTGAAAACGTTAACGTTACATTAGGCACAATTTGCTAATAAAAAAAATCTCAAACTACACCTACTTCCTATAAACTAAGGATTATTACGAGAGTTCTAAACACGACATGGATCAGCAAACACCATTTTTTTACATTGTCTCCAACATAGGAGCCATTTTGTTGGAGATATTTGCATAGGTCTGTATTATTTATAGAGATGTGACGACAGTTGCCGCCAGAGATCGATTTCCAGTGCTGGACGCTTTTTTTTTTTTTTTTTTTTAAGGAACCTAGCAAAACACCGTGTTCCACAGTTTAGAACGAACGTTTTGCCACATTGTATCTTCTCATCTGACGTCATCAGTGGCAGTATTACATTGTGCTTCCCCTTCCTCTCCCTTATATCCCAGGACCGAATGGTGTTTTGGTGAACTTCCTTGCTCTTTCATGATGAAATTCTAAGGTAAAAAATAAAAAAAATCAATCATAAAATAATGGTAATCTAGTATCTCCAAACAATTCTAGATGTTATGCAATTATACCTTATATAAAAAACTGAAGCACTTCCCAAATGGTGCAGTGGTAGATAACTGGGGGGGAAAACCACTGGTACTGAAAAGAATATCAAAAGACCCTGAACATCTAGAGAAATATTCAGGGTTATTCATAAAAGTGAGAAGTGTCTTCAATTCAATGTAATCTTGAAATTTATGGCCAAAATGGAAAAAAATTCACCAAGTCTGTTATATTCCAGTTTGGCTACTTTGACCTTAAATGTGAAATTCACTTTGATTTCCCCCAAAATTGTATCTTTAGTCAACAGTCCTTATTGTCTGTGGCAGCTTTAGTTGCCCAACGGTAGCTGTCACGAGAGAGAGTGTGTGTGTGTGTGTGTGTGTGTTTGTGTGTTTTTTTTTGTTTGTTTTTTTTAAAATATTTTACCAGGATGGATACATTGAGATTTCTCTCATTTTCAAGTATGTCCTGGGTCAACAAACCATTGCATTGATACAATAGTACAAAAATACAATATACAAATTATACAGACACACAGAGATATATAAATTTAATACACAACAGGAAATAAATATATTTAACCATAACAGGTGCATTCTTTATTGAGGTATATTGCCATAGATCTCTTAAAAGATGTTAGATTAAATGAAGATTTGACTGTTTCCCTGAGGTTATTCCATAATTGCAGTGCTCTGTAGTAAAATGAGGATCGAGCCACTTTATTTTTTTTTATTGCGGTATGCTAAATATCATGCTAGTACTGGATCGGAGGTTACTATAATAACTATAAAATAGGTCTATAAAATATACAACCAATTGGTAATAAAAAATGTTTTAGCAGCACGGTAACATTAAAACTAGATAAAATATATTTTTTTAATTTTTGGATTTGTATGGCCACACTTCGAACTTTTGAAGCGGCACTTCGAATTACCGAATACCCTTTCCTGTGCTTCCAGGGATCAATGGTAAATAACTCGGTTCATTTCTTTTAAGAGCCTGAGCTTCTCCAATAGAATCTCACAACCTTCAACCAATCACTGGATGGAGTGATAAATAACTCTCCTAAAACTCATACACAAACACTAGACAAGTTTTAGTGGTAGTAGAAGATAAAACATTGATGTTTTATTAGGCACAAAATTTATACAACACAAAAAGGAGGGACAAATAAGTAAAATAGTTCAGGGACGTGATGATAGAGTGCAATGACAAAGTAGAAAAGATGGGTCATCCCCTAAGCTAACTACCATGCAAAAGACAAACAGTCTAGTAACCATGGGACAGGACAACACCTACCATAATGTCAGTAGGCAGTCCCAATATTGCTTCCCAGTTTTTATAGTTGTAGCCAGTTAACATTACCTGCGGGTCCCTGGTATGGCTCTGGAAAGTTTACTAGTGTGTCCAGAAATACCTGCAGGGATTGGTCGGGTTACATTTGTTTACAGCATTAGGATTTTCTGGTCAGCGTACCATGAGATGGAAGCTTGGATTTGAAACACTAAAACATTCCTGGAAATAACCCTACTAGTATTGCCAGTCCAAATAACACACCAATTTCTAATATATAATCTTCTAATTTGATAACTCTTTGTGGTTCACCACAGTCTGTGTTCATCAGACCTAACCCTTAGGGTGCAGAATGAATTAACCTCTAGAATTACAATGTCTAGTTTATGCTCCACAGTATTTTATGTTTGCACACAAATACTCCTGCTGATGTTTTAATGATAAAAGGAACACTCCTACCCCTATAATAACTTGAATGGACACTCTGAACCCCTAACTAAGCACTTAAAGGACCACTGTAGGCACCCAGACCACTTCAGCTCAATTAAGTGGTCTGGGTGCCAGGTCTATCTAGGGTTAACCCTGCCTGCTGTTAACATAGCAGTTTCAGAGAAAATGCTATGTTTACATTAGGGTTAATCCAGCCTCTAGTGGCTGTCTCATTGACAGCCGCTAGATGCACTTCCGCGATTCTCACTGTGGACGCCAGCTTCCATAGAATGCTTTCCTATGGACTGACTCAATGCGTGCGTGGCTCTTGCCGCGCATGCGCATTCAGCCGATGACGTCGGAAGGAGGAGGAGAGTCCCCAGCGCCGAGGGAGCCCGGCGCTGGAGAAAGGTAAGATTTTAACCCCTTCCTCCCACTTCAGCCCGGCAGGAGGGGGGCCATGAGGGTGGGGGGGGGGACGACCTATTAACACTATAGTGCCAGGAAATCAAGTTTGTTTTCCTGGCACTATAGTGGTCCTTTAAGCTTTCTGAAATGGTTTGAGTGTGAAGATTTATTCTTTTACTCAAAAAGTGCAGCTCTCATGGTGGAAATAACTGGTGCCTGGTAAATTGTCAATGTGTTGACTACTTACATTGAGGGTGCTGAATTGGTCATTGTACTTTGAGGTTTCATATTATATGGAGAATTGTGTTCTTAAACAGATAGTAAAATATGTTTATGTTAAAGTGCTATATTGTATGTGCCTCTGTTTCCTTGGTTTATATAAATATTTATGCTTCAATCCGATTAATTCTGTCTGGGATAGAAAAAAAAACATGGTTTGTATTCCTAGAAAGAGTGTATTGCCAGAATGTTTATATTTTGTTCTTTTCTAAAGAAATTAAAACCACTGCATGAAATGTTTTTTTTTGCTTCTTTTTAAGCTTTATACATTTCCAATGAAATCTTTTAGAGGCAAAAGAGTTGCATGTGGTGAAAAGCAACTATACAGGGACAGGCTAAATAAGTTAACACATATCTCAGTAATGGCTGTCTTTTATCATGTAAGAAACTTGACCGTTCACAGATATTATTCTGTTGATACAGGTAACCTTGCTGTGATTTGCCTTGTGTTTTTGTGCCCACATTATGGAACCTGCTATTTCCTCATTGGGTCTGCTCTCTGGCTATAACTCCTCTGGGTCAGATGAGGACAATTCCACAGACAAACCATCTAGGTAAGAACTTTGAAGACCTTCATAATGTAACATGTCCAAGCATTATTCTCTCCTCATACCCTCCTTTATTTTTTTTCTTTCTTCTCTTAGCCATTCTTCAACTGCAGTGAATTTCTTTTCCAGCAATGCTTCTAGTAGTGATGAGGAGAGTGAAGTCCAAAATAAAAAAGAAATACCTCAAAATTCTGTAACAGTGAATTCACCATTGCCCACTGTCCGTCTCCCAGCTCCTCTCCTGGGAAGGCAGGTCGTTGCGGGTCCTGGAGGAGTCTTCTCAAGCACATTCCGTGAGGAACAGGAAGCCCAGTTGAACGTGTTGGAGCAACACGTAAAGTTGAGTGACAGTAACTGGATGAAACGAGGAAGAGGAGTCTGTTTGGCTTACCAGAAAGATGGGAGGTGCCGTTATGGAACAAAGTGCAGATACAGCCATGACTCTGACTTGATGCAGCCAGGCACACAACTGGTGAATAAGGGGAGTGAGCACAATCTTTTGAGAGAAGATGGAGGATGGATGCATAGAGAAGAAAATGTGGAAGGCAATGAGGGAAAGGAATCCGAACTAGACAGAGATGAAAAGCAAAGTCAGAGGGGGAAAAGGAAAAAGCCAGGACTCAGTAATACACTGATTCCTCCCAAAAAATCTATGCAAAACTACAAGGAACAGTTGGCTGCTGAGAGACCATGGGACTTGTAAAAGCCTACAGTCTCAAGATACAGATCATCTGGTTTGATTTTTGTTGAAAGTGTAAGAATGGAAACAGTTAATTATTTAGTAACTATTCTCATATGCCCCCAAATTCGATCAGCAAAATGAGAAAGGTTCACATAGTTTTATAATGCTAAATGGGAGAGTGCTCAGGCTGTTGTTAAGTCATATTTATTGTAATTGATTTCTGCATTAATGGATCATTAGCTTATAAGTAGAACTGCATACTTCTGGGAAGTCAATGTACTACACAACTGATTTACTAAAGAGCAATATGTTTTGCTACCACTTCTCATGTATATACCCTCCGAGTTTCTTTTAACACAGTTGATTAACCGAATACAAAACTGCAATGTTAATGAAAATATCTTTCTTTTTGACACCCATGAGACCTTGTTCATAATTTCTAATTGATGGTTTTAATCCAATGGCATGCAGGGTTAATTAGTAAAGTATGCCAGTGTGATTATGTAAATATCTGAAAAGGAGCAATTTAGTAAATCTGGTGGCCCTGGTGCAAGAATCTTTTGGAGCCCCATCTAGCACTAGCATGGCCTAAGATGGTAGATCTTCATCTGTCGTACAACTCCCAATGCTTTTCCAGCTGGTGATTTACCGTATGCCGAACCTTGCAGAGCTTTATTTGTGAACAGTGTTTATTTTTTAATGTAAGCATGTTTTGTGTGTTTGAATGTAGTTTGTACTGTTGGCATTTGAATGTAGATTTAGTTTGTCTGTTCTCTTGCTATTTTAAAGCAGTGGTGTACTTGTGTTTAGTATTTGTAGGTAGAGTTGGCGTTTTCTGGGATATACGCACATACAGACACACACACACACACACACACACACACAGAGATAATAGATAACATACTGACAAAGATCACAATTTACATATTTTTACCGACTCCCCTTCTTCCATACTTTTTGGTGCAGGAGGGTGGTTTCCAGGGGCTCCAGTTAAATCTGGTTGAGTCTGATGGGCGTTTTGTCCAGGCTTTCCTTCTCTTAGCTGAACTCCCCTCTCTCCCTGTCACGTGCGGCTGTATGCTATACTGTAACTCCTAAAGTGAATATGTTGGGTGTTGTAAGTTATGCAAGTCACCTGGGGTTGATCACTGCCTTTTTCATTATTATTTATAAAGTGCCAACAAATTCTGCCACGCTGTACAATAGTGCACTGGTACACACAGCGGTAACGTGGTATCTACTATTCCCAATTAATACTTCCATATATGCTTCTGCTTCGGACCCTCATTTATCCATAGGGCACCCATGTGAGGAACAGCACAAGACACCAATGAAGTCTGGAGCCTATTTCCTAGTTTCTCAACCTGTAGTGCACGTACCCTAGGGGGTATGCGCACCACAGACCAGGGGGTTATCCAAGAGCAGGCTGGCTGTCCATCTTAGTATCCCTCTGGAGGTGGCCGACTGGGGATCTTCCAGCACTGGTCACTTGCTTGCCCTGTGGTGATACCGGGTGGCATCACTAAATGGTGTGCGAGGCAGTAGTGCTGCAAGAGCACAAAAATTACACAAGCCCCACACTTCTCCATGGAAACGAACCCCACTGGATCCCAGGGAAAGGATCCACTCCAGCTCTCCAAGAGGTAAAGAAGCTGGGTGGACTTATAGAAAACAAATTGTGTGTGTGAGAGAATGTATGTGTCAAGAGTGCATGTGTCTGTCCGTGAGTGTCAAGTCAGTAACCATGTGTACCAGTGCCCTCTATTTGCAAATGTGTGTGTGTCAGCATCCTCTGTGTGTAACTATATGTGTAGCAGTTTCCTTTGTGTGTGTCGTGGAGCTTCAATATTCGACCAGGGTATCTCTGCCAAAAGCATCAGTCGAAACTTGGTGAAAGGTGAATAGGAATGCCTTTATTGGTCACAGTACTTACATTTATATGCAGGAGACTAACTAAAACAATACAGGCCCCGCCCAGGTGCCTTTGTGTCAGGGAGGTAACTAGATTGAGAACCTCTAATCTGATTAATCTCCAGACATCATGGGGACCTTAACATAATACCTCACATATTTGGTATTTCCAGATAGCTCAACCCATCAGCTATATACAGTTCAAAAAGAACCGTGATTCTCTGCAATAATGTAGGATTGCCACCCAGTAAAAGGATGGAACATCCGCAGGTAAGTTCCCGAACTAATGACTAGTTTCATGTGGCCGGCCTGAGTTGGCAGGCTGCTCCAGAGGACCAAATCTGCATTAATAGGTTACCAGGTGGTTGAATTTCAGAGCGCTTGGTCTGGTGGTGTCTGCTAGGGGAAGGAAAGTGATTAGAAGTTTTTTTCTGCTTAGTTAGGTTAGTCTCCTAACCGTGTGTAAATGTGTGTGCCAGTTTCCTCTGTGGTCTGTCAGTGAATGTGTGTACTATATCAGGGAGACTGTGCCTGTGTGTGTGTTTGTGACCATTGTGTGTATCTTAATTTTGTGGCTTTTGTACTTCACATTAATAGTTCATACACTCCTCTTTACATACACAATATTCACATCATGTCATATTTATTTTAAAAATAATATATTCTATTTACTACCTTTTAATCAGGCTTGTTCTCCAATATGGGATTAACTTAAATATCCGGGTCTACGTGTTTCTTTTGGAATTTAAACAATATAAATTACTTTCTTGAGGTAGTGGTAAACACTGGTCTATTTAAAACAAACATTCTCAGGGACTTAAATAAAATCCATTGATTGTGCTAGGGATTGACTGCCTTTATTTTAGCACTTGGCATCCATTAATATTTAGAAATGCTTTTGACAGTATTCTTACATAAAAGATGAAGGTGCATTGATTTCAACAATTTTAATAAATGCTAACCTTAATATTGTTATGTCGTTTAATTTAGCAACATATTCTGCAGTTCTGGTAAACAAAACATAAAAGCAGTTGATGAAGACAAAACTCAGGTATACAGACTCAATTCGTGGGCTCACTATGTAAAGGATGTGGGTATATTTGCACAAAAAAGTGCAGTGTGTCTAGGTGGGAAGATAAGCAGTAAACATTTTGAATGATATTTGACTATTTTATTCATTATTATTACGAAACTAATGCAGCGATAACGCTGAAGTTCAACCAAGAACATGACCGCCCACTTTGGCTTGAGATGGAGGCTAGCAAACTCTCTTTGCATTCGATTATAGATATTTTATGGTTGATTCCATCTCAGCGCATAAGGTTGGAATATACTATAATGAAAAATTCACCCTTCTGCTGTCTGGTCTAGAGTGACTCCTTTGTCAATATTAAAACTAGTTATGCCTGAATTAGATGTAGAATATTGGCCCTCTCATTTGATTCATTGTATTATTGATTTTTTCTTATCTTCTAATTTTTTTTAACATTTGAACAGCTACAAAAGAAATTCCAAGTATTTTTGAAGCTCCTGCACATGCAAATTTGGTTAAAAAAATTAGCAGGCATTTTGGGATTTCCGACCAGGATCTGAATGCTAGAAAATTGGAAGTATCAAATTTAGAAAAGGTTTATATTTCAGACCCTGGCTGGAAACAAACCATCTCCATGTGCTATGCCTTTTTTGCAGGAAAAGTAGACTTGAAATTGCCATACATGACAAAGTGGGAGAGTGATCTTTGTGAGGTATTCACAGTGGAGTAATGGCATGAATCATTACTTGCATTGAAAGGCATTACACATTGTATTACCCACTCAGAATCTCATTTAAAATTAATTTATTGCTGGTATTTCTCCCCATTTAAAATGTTCTGACTACATCTCTCCACATGTAACTTATGTTGGAGAGGCTATGGACAGACAGGTACTTTATACCATATTTTTTGATCATGCCCAAAACTATCCAACTATTGGCAAAAAATATTAGAAATGATCATATCTATCACTGAGTTCCCTGTTGATTCAGCTCCTGGATTATGCTTACTTAAACGTTTCCCTGAAGATTTATCAACACACAAAATAATAATGTTAGGCCATCTCCTTATCTCGGCCACATCAATCATTCCTAGATATTGGAAATCTGTTACAATTCCCTCTGTCAAAGATGTTTTACTCTTTTTATTTGAAAATAAAAGATGTGAACTTGCTCTCAGAGTACCATCGGCTACCAATGTACTCCTCAGACATGACTGGTCTGAGTGGAAGAAGGCAATGAGGAGCAGGGCCGGACTGGGAACAGAAAGCAGCCCTGGAAAAAAATTATTCCAGCCTTATAATTCATCGTACCACAGAGTGTTTGTGTTTTTTATCTTGATGTGCTTTAGGAGCTGTTATATTGTTTCTTACCCGCAGTCCCTCACTCCATATGATGCATGGGTATTACAGTGCTGTAATACCCACCCTCCAGGCTGACACACACAAGTTCACTACAGACAAGCTCCACAACACACACAAGTTCTCTTACTCATACACAAGCTCACTACAGACAAGCTTACTGATACAAGCTCACTAAAGACAAGCTCCAAGACACACACACAAACTGTGTGTCTCTACAGACAAGCTCAATGACACACACACAAGCACGCTACAGACATGCTCACTGACACCAATTCAGACAAGCTCATTTGAGACACACAGGCTCACTACAGACATGCTCACTGACATACACAATGTCCCTATAATCTCACTAACATACACACTCAAGCATAGTACAGACATGCTCACTGACACTCACACAGGCTCACACACACACATAAGCTCACTACAAGCTTACTGACACACATAAGCTCACTACAAACTCACTGACACACACAAGCTCACTACAGACATGCTCACTACAAACAAACTCACTACATGCTCACTGACACAAGCTCACTATAGACAAGCTCTCTAAAACACACAAAAGCATAATACAGACAAGCTCACTACAAGCACACTGACACAAACAAGCTCACTATAAGCTCAGTGACACACACTCAAGCACAGTTCAGACATGCTCACTACAAGCTCACTGACACACACATAAACTCACTACAATCTCACTGACACACACAAGCTCACTACAGACATGCTCACTAGCACACACACAGAAGCTCACTACAAATTCACTGACACACACAAGCTCACTACAGACATGCTCACTAAAGCACACACATAAACACTACAGACTCACTGACACACACATGCTCACTTCAAGCTCTCTGACACACAACCTCACTACAGACATGCTCACTACATGCTCACTGACATACACAATGTCACTAAGCTCACTGACACACACTCAAGCACAGCAGACATGCTCACTACAAGCTCACTGACACACACATAAGCTATTTGTTGACATTATTTTTCACATGTTCTCTAGGGAAAAAAATGTAACATTAAATTTAAGGACAATAACTATCCCAGAAAATCGTGAACTACATCTGAACCTTTTATCTAATATTAAAAATTGACTATTCACTAAGGTGTTTATTGGTGATTTGATAACCACCTTTAAGACCATAATAGCAAAGTTGGGGGAAAAAATTCCAAATCTACTAAAAAATATTTTTTTTTTTTACAACTTGGATATTTGTCCTAAGTATTGAAAGACAATTCATCAGCACAACTCACTTTTTATTAAATAAGCCCCTTAATATTTATATCGAAGGTAACATGCGTCCAACAGGTGATTAGAAAAGAATTATTAACTTTTTAGGTTTTTCTACATCTATTAGGGTCTTAAAGGAACACTCCAACCATCCTAACCACTACAGCCCGCTGGGACTTTTGCTAAATTGGAACATTTGTCTACATCATCTAATATCATAAACAAATGCTTTTTAACAACTACAGACCTCTGTAGTGGTTATGGTGCCAGGAGAGCCCTGCTGCCATTCATCACTAAGGTGTCAAACTTTTTTAGAATGGATTGACATTTATCTAGGTTTTACTGGGCAGTGGGCACCCCTCCCACAACTGTTACATCTAGTATTCTACAGCAGGAGAAGCCATATTTCACTGCTTAGAACAAACTATGACTGGAGTCATAAGCTGAGAGTATCAGTGCTGACCTCCATCTGCATGGTAGCATGCTGTAGTAGTTGTGGTATTTGAATTGTTTCATCAATTTAGAATTTCAGTTTATGGTTTACTATAAACTGGTGCTTAGTGTATATACTCCACAAAGTTTTATTATTTAAACCAGGGCTGCCCAATAGGTAGATCCCCAGACGTTGTAGTTCTACAACACCTGGGGATTTACATTTTAGGCAGACCTGATTTAAACAGTGGATTGTCTGAAATTCACAAGTGTCCCTTTAAATTTAAATTCTGTGGTAAATTCCTGTCAATTTTCAGTTTAATGAAAAAACCTGCCAGTGCTTTCCATAGGAATTAATTCACACACAGAAGCTCACTACAAGCTCTATACATACACACACACTACAAACTCACTGACACACACTAGATCACTACAAGCTCTATACACACACACACACACTACAAACTCACTGACACACACTAGATCACTACAAGCTCTATACACACACACACACACACACACACACTACAAACTCACTGACACACGCTAGATCACTACAAGCACTACACACACACACACACACACTACAAACTCACTGACACACACTAGACCACTACAAGCTCTATACACACACACTCACTACAAACTCACTGACACACACTGGATCACTACAAGCTCTATACACACACACACTACAAACTCACTGACACACACTAGATCACTACAAGCTCTATACACACATACACACACACTACAAACTCACTGACACACACTAGATCACTACAAGCTCTATACACACACACACTCACTACAAACTCACTGACACACACTGGATCACTACAAGCTCTATACACACACACACTCACTACAAACTCACTGACACACACTGGATCACTACAAGCTCTATACACACACACACACACTATAAACTCACTGACACACACTAGATCACTACAAGCTCTATATACACACACACACTACAAACTCACTGACACACACTAGATCACTACAAGCTCTATACACACACACACTACAAACTCACTGACACACACTAGATCACTACAAGCTCTATATACACACACACTACAAACTCACTGACACACACTAGATCACTATAAGCTCTACACACACACACACACACACACTACAAACTCACTGACACACACTAGATCACTATAAGCTCTATACACACACACACTCACTACAAACTCACTGACACACTGGATCACTACAAACTCTATACACACACACACTACAAACTCACTGACACACACTAGATCACTGTAAGCTCTACACACACACACACACTCACTACAAACTCACTGACACACACTAGATCACTATAAGCTCTACACACACACACACACTACAAACTCACTGACACACACTAGATCACTATAAGCTCTACACACACACACACTATCAATCATGGGCTGCTTAGTGGATATATAAGTACCTGTAACTTCTCTGTACCTGGACTTAGAGTGCAGTATGAGTATTTTTCATGAAGCTCCTCCACTTCCTGTGTGAAAGGTCACCAGGGAGAGGCTGGGGGCAGAACTCTAGTGCGGGGGCTGACTGTCCATGCAGAGCTGGAAAGAAGCTGCTTTTGTGAGAGAGTGAGAAAGACTTTCAGTGCTCTCTCACTCCTCTCTGCTGCAAACCAGCTGTCACCTGTTTCTGTTACCGGCCTCTGGCAGCTTCACTGCGGCCATCCAGCAAACTTTCTGCCCCAGGCTCCAGCCCCAAACAATTCAGAGGAGGGAAAAGAGTAATGTGCTGCACTGCCAGCCCCAGCAGCACCGGCCCACCGGGGAATTTCCCGGTATCCCGGTGGGCCAGTCCGGCCCTGATGAGGAGTAAGTACAAGCTTGATGATGTTTTCACCTGACTGAAAACCGTTTTATCATTTATTTTTGACTCATTTACCGTATTTGTCATTAAATATACAGTATCTATATATACCAAAAGAGTTGTGGTGGGGAAAAAAGTGTGGATGAAAACGCCTTCCACCTGAAGAAAGTGGATAGTTAATACATTGCTAAACATAAATTCTATGGAACTGTTTTTGGCAGGAAGACTTCACTGTTCCTGGTCGGTCCCCAGCGGCACTTAGCCGTGATTTTATGGAACTGTTTTGGGCATGGACCATGCG